GAGAGGAGAGAGAGATGAGAGAGAGAGCCACGAGAGAGGAGAGAGATGAGAGGAGAGAGAGAAGAGAGAGAGACGAGCACGAGAGAGAGGAGAGAGAGAGCACGAAGAGAGAGAGAGGAGATGAGAGAGAGAGATGAGCACGAGAGAAAGAGAGAGAGAGAGAGAAAAACACGAGAGAAAGAGAGAGAGAACACGAGAGAAAGAGAGAGAGAACACGAGAGAAAGAGAGAGAGAAGCACGAGAGAGAAGAGAGAGCACGAGAAGAGAGAGAGCACGATGAGAGAGAGAGAGCATGAGAGAAAGAGAAGGACGAGAGAGAGAGGAGAACGAGAGAGCACGAGAGAGAGATGAGAGAGGAGAAGAGAGAGAGAGCATGGAGAGAGAGAGAGAGAGAGAGAGAAAGAAAGAGCATGAAAGAGAGAGAGAGACAGAAAGAGCATGAAGAGAGAGAGAGAACGAAAGAGCATGAAAGAGAGAGAGAGAGCAAGAACGAGGCATGAAAGAGAGAGAGAGAAAGGAAAGAGCATGAAAGAGAGAGAGAGAAAGAAAAGAGCATGAAAGAGAGAGAGAGAGAGCTGCGAGAGGAGAAGAGAGAGAGCAGAGAGGAGAGAGAGCCCACGAGAGAGAGAGAGAGAGAGAGGCACGAGGAGAGAGAGAGAGATGAGAGCACGAGGAGAGAGAGAGAGAGAGCAAACGAGAGAGAGAGAGAGAGAGCACGAGGAGAGAGAGAGAGAGAGAGAGCACAGAGAGGAGAGATCACGAGAAGGAGAGAGAGAGCGATCACGAGAGAGAGAGAGCACACGAGAGAGAGAGAGAGAGAGCACGAGAGAGAGCGAGAGAGAGCGACGAGAGAGCACGAGAGAGCACGAGAGAGCACGAGAGAGAGCACGAGAGAGCACGAGAGAGCACGAGAGAGCACGAGAGAGCACGAGAGAGCACGAGAGAGCACGAGAGAGCACGAGAGAGCACGAGAGAGCACGAGAGAGCACGAGAGAGCACGAGAGAGCACGAGAGAGAGGCACGAGAGAGAGAGAGAGAGAGAGAGAGAGAGAGAGAGAGGAGAGAGAGAGAGAGAGAGAGAGAGAGAGAGAGAGAGAGAGAGAGAGAGAGAGAGAGAGAGCACGAGAGAGAGGGGGGGGGGAGAAGAACATTTCATTGTTGCCACATTTTCTATAATACAGGCCAACATTCTCTATAATGTGGTTCCTTCAATTATCTGACAAATTTCAGATATCCTATACCACGTTTGTAGATATGAACAATAAAACAGTTTTAAAATGACTCTAGTTTTTGTCAGGTAAGATTCAAATGTTTTTTGATTGACTATTTTGCACTTGATTCCAGCGAATATTCATTGCTTATACATCATATCTGCTGTGTTCATTGTAAAAGGCCATGAAATAGGAATGTATTCTGGGACGGTGATCAACATGATAGTCGGGTTCCTTGGAAAGTATGATCCTTATGTAGACCGCATGTACTCAGCCATAAGTCTTTTTGAAAATATTGGATGATTAGTTGGTACATACTTTACTGCAGTCCTTCCATGTCACTTTTAACTGGTATGTCTGATTAATCTGAATATTTGTTGAAAGATTCTTACAAAGTCCAGACAGTGGTTCTGTTCTGTTCTCTCTCTCTCTCTCTCTCTCTCTCTCTCTCTCTCTCTCTCTCTCTCTCTCTCTCTCTCTCTCTCTCTCTCTCTCTCTCTCTCTCTGTTTGTTTGTTTGTTTGTTTAAAAGTTTATTTGTTTTGAATGGTTTATTTACTGATACGATATTTTCATCTTCCCAAAACAGGGAATATGTTCATTGCATTGTATAGTCTGTTTCTTACAGTGAATGTATAACAAGTCATGTTACTTTCAGTATTGCAAAAATACTAAGCTGTGGCTATGCAGAAAATATTTCTATACATTAGAAAATATCTCTTTTTTTTTTTTTTTATTACCCAACTCTTTAATGGTTTTCATATTTTAATGGTATCATTAAATGGTTAACTGGTGTCTAAGAGATAGTCCTTCTGTCACTTGACAACTTTAAATCCAGTTGATTCTAGTCATTGTTATTTTGATATTCAGCTTCAAGTATTTGATATTTTTATTTCAGTTCCTGGATTATTTGAGAACAGTGTTTGCTATGAAAGTTTAAATAACAGAAATGTGTATAGTAGTAGTATTGTATACAATGTTATGATTAGTATCCAACCCAGAAGATTCCTTTCTGTTGCACCTTTGTTCTCTTGTTTAACACCCATTATTTCTGCCACATTTCTTAGGAAGAGGATGGAGACCCAGGAATAGCCACACAACCATTGTCACAGCAAAACTTGGGACCCATGTCGTAACTACAGATCCCGTAGCCCTGACATCGGACCCACAGTTCTACACAGAACTTTCCTGGGAGCTGGAATCCCACATTATTCGAAGGTAGGTGATGCTAGACTCCAGAATAGATGTAGACCTAATAATGTGTGACATCATTTATATGTAGTGATGCCT